GGGTGTTTTGCTCAGCGAAATAAGTCAGAGAAAGACATGTGTCATATGACCTCACTTATATGAGGAATTCTTAATCTCACAAAACAAACTGAAGTTTGCTGGTGGGGTGGGAGGGATGGGGTGGCTGGGTAATAGACATTGGGGAGGGTATGTGCTATGGTGAGCGCTGTGAATTGTGCAAGACTCTTGAATCACAGATTGTACCTCTGAAACAAATAATGCAATATATGTTAAAAAAAAATAAAAGAAGAAGATAGCAGGAGGGGAAGAATGAAGGGGGATAAATCAGAGGGGGAGATGAACCATGAGAGATGATGGACTCTGAAAAACTGAGGGTTCTAGAGGGGAGGGGGGTGGGGGATGGGTTAGCCTGGTGATGGATATTAAAGAGGGCACGTTCTGCGTGGAGCACTGGGTGTTATGCACAAACAATGAATCATGGAACACTACATCACAAACTAATGATGTAATGTATGGTGATTAACATAACAATAAAAAATTTAAAGAAAAAAAAGAATCCCTTTAAAAATGTCAGAGCAAATAAGTGAAATCAAGCAAACTTTCAGGATAGAAAATCAACATGCAAAAATCAGTTGTACTTTTATGCACCAGCATTGGACATCCAAAAAGAAACTGGATTGGGGAAAAAAATTCATTTACACTAGCAAACAAGGGAATAAAATACAGTACTTGGGAATAAATTAAACAAAGGAAGCACAGAACTTATATACTGAAAACTATAAAACACTGCTGAGAGAAATTAAAAAAACTAATGAAAAGTCATCTTGTGCATGGATTGGAAGACTTAATATAGTTAAGATTAATTTACAGATTCAGTGCAATCCCTATCAAAATTCCAATAACGCTTATGACAGAAATGGAAAAACCCCATCCTAAAATTTATATGGAATCTTAAGAGACACTGAATAGCCAAAACAGTTTTTTTTTAAAGTTTTATTTATTTGTCAGAGAGAGTGAGAGAGAGGGACAAGCGGGGGGGGGGACAAGAGAGGGCGACAAGCTCCACAAGCGGGGGGGGGGGGGAGTGGCAGGCAGAGGGAGAAGCAGACTACCCACTGAGCAAGGGGCCCGATGGATGCGGGACTCAGTCCCAGGACCCTGGGATCATGACCGAGCCAAAGGCAGATGCTTCACCAACTGAGCCACCCAGGAATCCCACCACAACAGTCTTGAAAAAATAATAACAGAGATGAAGATTTCACATTTACTCATTTTAGAACTAACTACAAAGCACAGTGATGAAACATTGTGGCACCAACATAAGGGTAAACACATATATAGATCGATGGGATAGATCTTAGTGTCTAGAAATAAAAGCTCACAGTTATGGTGAACTGATTTTTGACAAGGGTGCCAAGATTTTTAATGGGGAAGAGCAGTCTCTTCAGTAATTGTGCTGGAAACTGGATTTCCACATGCGAAAGAATGAAGACTTATTTCACACCATAAATTAAAAAAATAATTCAAAATGGATTAAAAACCTAAACATAAGACCTAAGGCCATAGAACACTTGGAAGAAAACAGAAAGACAAATCTACATGACCTTAGACTTGGCAATGGCTTTTTAAATATGACACCAAAAGCATAGACAACAAAAGAAAAAATAGACAAATCTGACTTCATTAAAATTAAAAACTTTTATGCACCAAAGAACACTATCAAGAGACTGAAAAGGCAGCCCACAGAACAGGAGAAAGTATTTGCAACTCATATATCTGATAAGGTTTTTTTTTAAGATTTTATTTATTTGACAGAGAGAGAGAGACAACAAGAGAGGGAACACAGGCAGGGGGAGTGGGAGAGGGAAAAGCAGGCTTCCCACTGAGCAGGGAGCCCGATGCGGGGCTCAATCCCAGGACCCCGGGATCATGACCTGAGCAGAAGGCAGACGCTTAATGACTGAGCCATTCAGGCGCCCCAGATAAGGGTTTCATATCCAAAATATATAAATGACTCTTGCAAGTCAACAAAATAGTCAAAACAACCCAATTTATAAAACAGGTAAAGGTCTTTGAATACACATTGCTCCCAAGATGACACACATATGGCCAAGAACCATATGAAAATATAGTCCACCTCAGTAGGCAAATGCAAATCCACAGCAAAATGAGATACCATTTCATACCTACTTGGATGGTTATAATTTTAAAAAAATGGAAAATAACAAGTGTTGGCAAAGACACAGGAAAACTGGGACCTTTGTACTTTGCTGGTAGAAATGTAAACTGCTAGAACTGCTGGAAGTTCTTTGAAATGGAAGTTCTTCAAAAAGTTAAACATAGAATTACCATGTGACCCAGCAATTCTACTTTTAGGTATGGATCCCAAAGAATTAAAAACAGGTGTTCAGATATTTGTATGCCAATATTCATAGCAGCATTATTCACAGTAACCCAAAGTGGAAACAACCCAAGTGTCCATCAGTTGATGAATGAGTAAATATACATCTAATGTACATGCATACAATGGTATAGTAATCAGCCATAAAATGGAATGAAATTCTAATACATGCTACAATAAGAAAGAAACCAAAACAATGTGCAGTAAATAAGCCAGACACAGAAAAACAAATGTTATGATTCCACTTGTATGAAATATCTAAATAAGCAAATTCATAGACACAGAAAGTACATTAAAGCTTACCAGGGACTGGGAGGAGGAGAAAAAGGGGTGGGGTGGTTATTGCTTCATGGATCTGGAGATTCTTTTTGGGGTGATGAGAAATTTTTGTACAACATTGTTAATGTAAATAATACCAGTGAACCGTACAATTAGCCATGGCTAAATAGCTAATTTTATATACACATACATATTATCACAGAGGGGAAAAAACCAACGCACAGAAGAGAGTGCATCATAAATTATCTTTGGTGTTTATAACTGTATAAACACTGGAAAGACATAAGAAACTAGCATAAGTGGCTACTTAGAGTTAACATGAATATTCAGTTCATACACACTAATTAGTTTGTACTGGCTAAAATGTAGGAATACTCTGTCCTGATTGGTAAGTGGCCACCCCCCAATTCCCTGAATTTCTTCTACCTCCACTCTCATCCTGGGATACCTGATTGTCTCATGATCCAGCAAGAATTAACTCTGGCACGCAGGGCTCTAGCAAGCCAGCATAGAATGAAGTGGGATGGAAACAGGGTGGCAGGAAAACTGCACACTCAGCCTTTTGACATCCTTTTGATTGTTTGAATCATGTAAGTATATTACCTATTTACTATAATGAAATATAAAAAATAAAAAAAAAGAGTATGCCAGCTATAAAAGGCAATTAAGAGAATCTGAGCAACACAAAGGCATACTCGTAAACCATAGTAGAACAAAGAACAAGAGAGCTCGGGGAAGTGCACGTTTTGTGGAAAGGCTTAAATATGGGCGGGGGGGGTGGATAGGCACAGAGGATGAGATTAGACAGGTAAACATGGGCCAGATATGAAGGAACATTTATGTGGTATTAATTAATTTGAGCTATTTCTATTGCCCTGATAAATCATTATTTTTTTAATCAAGGGAATAACCTGAACAGGTCTGTGTGTTAGAAACATAGTTCTGACAATTGTGTAGGTAATGGAGTGAAGAGGCGAGAAGCCAGGAGTGAGAGGGCTGAGATGATGAGGAAAGTGGTAACAAAATGGAAATAAGAAGTCACGGTCAGAAGATACTCAAGAAGAATGATCCAATGGTCTTGCTGAAAATGTTAGCTCGGGGGCTGTTAATAAAAAAGAGCAGGAATAAATAATGACTCTAAGATTTCCAGCTTAGTTTACAAAGGGGGTGGATTATGACCTTTAAAGGGGAATTCTAAATGGGAAATTATTCAGAATTTTGATTATGTGAAATGTGAATATATTGAGATGGCAAAGATGAAGCATGACATAATGTGGATTTCAAATAAAAAGTTACTATGAAAATAGTAATGTTTTCCATTTTATTTAGGAATGACTAAGAGGAAATATGCTAAGTTCTACAGGACAAAACAGTATCTTTGTACATAAATGAAGGTCTAAACTTAAAGAGTATTATTGGAATATGATACAAAAACTATTTTGTGCTGTTTTTTACAAATTTATTTTTGACCGTGATAGCTTAGGTGTTAGACATGTAGAAAAATGACCTCCAGATGCTGTCACTAATTCTAAGGATTTATATGTTTATAGAGAAATAACAGATATGATTTCTCAGAATGCCATCTAAAACTTTTCCCAATAAATGTACTTTCAAAATACCATGGCATTCTCTAGGTATTCTCTAGTGTCGCTATTGTTTCATCAGATGAACAAGAAGAGTTTCATAAAATCTTTATGAACAAAATGACTTTTTAGAGCACTCTCTGCAAGCATTCTTCCCTCAATTCTGTATCTATCTCCAGCTACCCCCTTTCTCCCCACAGAGCTAAAGTTCTAAGAGTAGTGTGTATTCACAGTCTTCATCTTCTTACCTTACATTTATTCCTCAATCTACTTTGTCTCGCCAATACCCATAAGGGAAGTGGCTGTTGCTAAGGTCAACAGAGTCCAACACATAACTAAATTATCTCACAGGAACGTTCTGTTGCATAAGCATACTTAGCCCATCCTTTTTGGAATGTTCTCTTTCTTTGATCTCTGTAACACTACACATTTCTGGCTTCCTTTATGCTTCTATGATCATTCTCAACTTCCTTTGCTGGCTTATTCTCTTCCACCCAGCTATTAGTTGCTGAATTTCTCAGGAGTTGCTCATAGCCCCTCCTCTCTCACTCCACTCTCTTCTTGAAAAGTTTACCATATCTTTGACTTCAATTTCCAACTATAGGTCAGTGATTCCACCCCACGCTTTATTTCAAATCTCTAGGTAGGACCTTTACTCTAGACTGCAAGCACAAATAACCAGACATTTCCCAACCTCTCAATGTAAATGTCTTAAATATACCTTAAACTAACCATGTTCAAATAATCACACTCTTAATCACTACCATCAAAAAAGATCTTTTTCCAATGTTCCTTTTAATGATATCTTTCATCCAAGTGCACAAGGCAGAAACTTAGTAACATTTTTAACGTTTACCTTTTACTAAATCCCATGTCCATTTCTTCACCAAAGACTGTTAATTATTACCTCCTAAGTATCTCTTATATCTCTGTACTTCTTTCTATCTGTATTGTCAAACCCTAGTCTAAACCACCAACATCCCTCTCCTGGATTTTTGTAAACATTTTGTAGTATAGCAACTACAGCGTTGCCCTCTATAATCTGAAAAAAAAAAAAAAAAAAGTACTGGATGGAGAGATTTTAGTCCACGTATCTGTGAAGGAAGCAAAGTTAAGTCTTAAATTGGTTTCCTAAGGGCCTGTAAAAATGATGATTATTCAGATACACAACAGAAACATTTATCCACATTACACATTATCATTGGTAAACTCTATCTCCTGTTTGGATAGAGTAGGTGGCTTGGTCAAGTAGTAGAGAAGACGTGAGTGACAAGCGCTTTTTTCATTCTGCCACATCTGCTCTGCATCTGACCTTTCAAAACCATAGTATCTGATCTGACTTTTCTCATTCAGTCTTTTCCAGATTATTCTGGGGTCATCTGAAAGCCTGGGAAAACCCTCCTGATGTGCATCTCCAATAAGGGTAAGAAAGTCTTTGGTATAAAGGTGTTTGTCTATCTTCTCTTGGAGTAGAAATGACTCCAGTAAAGTCTTCTTCTGTCGCAGAAAGGCAGACTGGGCCAGTTCTGCTCTTTTTCTGTTGCAATGGGGACACCAAGAAGAAATGTGTTGCTTAGCTGTCGCCACCTGTTTTGGTATTGTCCTCATGTTTTTTAGGTAGATTCTGTTCAGAAGTTCATCAGGGACGGTACAGTTTAAGGTATCTTTCTCCGAAGCCTCTGCATCCAATCTAAGCTGTGGCTTTTGGTGTCTGCTCCTCTTTTTCTCCTTAGAGTTTGCTTTGCGATGGATCAGGTTTATCTTAACAGCACAAAAAGACTGCAGGGCATTCAGTTCTTCATCAGATACCTGAGTGGTTTCTGTTCGAAGTTTAGTGTCTGATTGGTATTGTCCAGAGTTAGTTTCTTTGCCCTTGTGATAGTTGATCCATTTTCTACTGAACTTGTTTTCATTATTTTGGTAGTCTGAAAGCTCAGATTGTTTGTCTCGATACTCCAAGTGCATAGTCCTTCCATTCCCAGAGGCATGGGACCAGGGCGGCAGTCCTCCAGAGGAGCTGAAAGAACTGGAACTCTGTCCCTCATCAGTCAGCGTCTCGTCAGAAAGGTCTGCCATAGCCCTGATGTCTGTTTGGGCCAGTTCCCCTTGCTCTTGTCAATCCCCAGGCTTCCAGGCGAATGGCTATCACTTTGCATCAGACTTGGCTCCTCATCTGCTCTGCCCTGATTAAGACAGGTTCAGGAACGGGTCCCGCCGGAGTCCACAGGGGTCGGTGCCGGAGCAGGCAGCTCAGCAAGGATCCTCTTCCGGGCTACGCCTTCCCGGCTGCCTTGGCAACGAGGGCGGTCATGCGCAGTGGGTGTCAGCGCTGAGCTCCTCCTCTTTCCCCGCCCTCTCCAGCTCAGACTGCCTGAGCAGGCGCGGATTACGCTGGGCTTGCAAAAGCGGAGGTTCCGTTTGCTCTGTAGCGACTCTTCCTTGGTGCTGTTTTAAGTACAAAATCTATCAGTCCTTGAGAGAAGCTAGCAAACTGTTTTTCCTCAGGGGTCTCACAAGTGTACGTGTGTGAGGCTAGTGGGCATAGGCAGGTTCTAATTTGAGAATGTATGCCCCGCCCCTCCCCCAAAAAAGCTGGCCAAAAAGAGCAGGCAAAAACACATCTGCAGATCGTATAGCCAGACCACCTATTTGTAGACCATGTCTTAGAATAAATATCGAACGACTGAAACCATCCCACAAGACTCCTCCCAGCACATCTTGCACAACTTTCTGTGCTCCAGGACTGGGACGACATTCTGTGCTCGGATTTTTCCAAACACAGGTTTTCAGGTCTTTGGTTCAGGCAGTTCCCCTCAGACTGGCACGTCAACACCCCTTCTCTTTATATGATTTATTACTGTTTCTCCTTCAAGTCCCACTTTCTCAGGAAGGATTTCATACCCACCCTGCCCCAAACTCTTTACAGCCTTTATTTCATGGTTTGCAGCTATATGATGATGCCCCCTCACCCCATCACCCCACTAGATTAAAAACTCCATGGGGGCAGAAACTAAGCCTGTGTTGCCCAGTACTCACCAGGTACCTGACACATTAGAAGGCATTGGATAAATCTGTTAAATAAATGCATTGAATGACTGTGAAAACAGAAATAAAGATAACCTCACACAGATCTAGTGTACTACCAGCTCAAGGAACTGCAATCTTTATCTTTCTGAACCGCCCACCCCAATTTACTCTTCTACCCATGACATATCCCTTAAAGAGAGCCTTTTTAAAAACATGGTAGAATTTTGTTAATAACTGTTCTCATGAATTATAATATGTTGACTCTGAAGATTGGCTTTTTCTAGGTCTTAATAAATATATGAGTCCAGGTCTTAGTAAGTATCTGAGATAATTTCAAGAGAATGGGCTCCCTGGGTTAACCCCCTAGCCCCCATGTGGTTAGTCAAGTCTAACCAGATATATTTAATGTTATCCCAAAAAATGCTCATCTTTTTAGGAGCAAAGGGTCAAAAGTCTGAAATATTCAAAAAGCATCTTTCACATATGAACCAGCTTCACATTGATGATAAAGAGATTGCAACTTCTTGGATTCAACCCAGATAATATTTTATCATATAATATTAGCCTTTAAAAAGAGGTAGCAGATAATTTGTGGATAGCTCCAAGTGATTTCCAGCATCTCAAGGGCTCAAGATTTTCATTTTTAATTTTTTTTTATTTTAAAAACCTACCTTATTCTCTAAATATTTATATGTAATTCATTATAACCCATATTTTCCCCAAAAATATTGATCAAAAGAGCTATACTTTATAATAAAGTATATTCATATCGTCCAGTAAGCTATTTTTAATAACATTATCCTAGAAGCAGATGCATTTGGGGAGAATGTTCTGTTATCAATAATTTTTTTGGTAATAATCAGCATGACCCAACAAATTGTTTAATACTCTAACATGGGTGTTTTCCAAGGTACAGTCAGTCACATTCCTTCTAGGGTCCTGACAAAATTGAAGGTTAGGGGAACTTGTCAAAACCTCTGCTGGCTACCTTGGACACCCATGGTACTTTGGCTTCCTCCTGTAGACTGGCTCTTTTTCTTTCAAAAGCATGTGTGAGAAGTGCCAGAGAGAAGGTGCTTTGGCACCCACAGTGTAGCACACTGTCACTCAGGTGACTTCCTCTGGCAACATTTTCCTCCAGAAACCTCAAGCATCTCTTAGGGGCTGATGGGAATGTTGGGGTCCTTTACAGACGGAATTGTGGCTGAAGACTGCCTGGAGTGGGGGGATGGGAGGAACAGGAAGTAAAGAGAGAAATTAGGTGTTAGATGGCACGACTTTTATTGCCTTACAAACACTGTCTCTTCCTTCCAAGTTCTTAATGGGGAGCAGGGCAAAGCTCTTTTTCCAGCTTTTCCTCAACAATCAAATGTGCTTTACAGCTATGGGGCTTAACCCCAGAGAGAGGAGGTCAAAATAAATTAGTCTTCCTGTCTGGTTCCCTTTCTCTCTTCTTTCTCTTTTCTTGGAGGGAGAAGGACACACTTTCAGTTTCTTCCTGTCTGACAAACACTTCTCCCTTCAGGTATCATAGCGCCTTCCTTCCCAGGTGGCCTTTAGCCTGTACCCCTTCCTGGAGCCCTTGTGGTGTTCATGGTACCAGGAGGGAATCTAGTGTATGAATAAGGGAAATTAAGTTGACAAATCTTTCAACAGTATTCTACCCTTTACATAAACTTCACAGCACTGTACTTGGTTCTGTGGATCAAACAAAATGAAATATTATTTCTTCTCCTAAGGGTCTAAGATGAATTGTGTCAGAAATCTCACTGTGAGAAACGATGTTTGCAGAGTAAAGAATCTTACATGACTCATGTTAAAATAATTATTTCAACTTACAGGACAGTACTGGTTCTTCATTTCTTTAAGGTGTTTTTCCCTCACAAATATCTCAGTTTTTCCATTCTTGTTTCCTGTGTGTCTTCTATAATTTTTCTAAAATTGATTGCCTTATGCAGAGTTGCCTTTTACTTTAATAATTATTGTTTTGCAAAGGTAATATATGTTTTTTGTACTTTAAAAGATAAGGATAAGCCACTAATATTGATTTTTAAGTAAGTTACCTGAATTCTGATCCCCCAAAGATTATACTACAAACACTTATAAAACATTTTCTATTTTTCCTTGAATAATTTTTTGTTAATAAAATCTAGATGATATTTTGTTTTATAAACCATTTTCTTCAATTAGTAATAATATGGCTTTTCCATTCAATTTGTAAAAATTCTTTTTCAACATAATTTCAACATATTTGATTTATTTAACTAAATTATTTAGGCACAAGGTATTTCCAGGTTTTTTTGCTCCTAAAAATTATCAGGATAAATGTTTCTCTAGTTAAATCTTTATATGCATTCATAGCTATACATTTATGATAAATTCCAGAATTTACAATTGATGGTCAAATGCATGTCCGGTTTGAAGGCTTTTAAGATATCAGTTCTTCCCTTGCACATTTTATCCCCTGCTGTAGTATGTAAAACCCAACATATAATATTATTTTATCCATAAATACTTCAGTTTGTAACTCCAGTAGGTAAGGCCTTTCTAAAAATATAATGACATGATGATTACACATCTAAAACATACTAATTCCTTAATATCATCTAATAATTATTCTGTATTCAAATTTCTCTGTGTCAAAAATGCCTTTTTGCAAGTTGCAGTGCTTATAGTGAGGTCTGTTCACTGCATTTGGCTGATTCAGCTCTCAAGGCTCTTTTACTCCACAAATTCTTCCCAAGTACAAATAATTTTAAAAAAGGAAAAAGAAAAGAGCTGACACATTTAGTTTTCTTCTCTGTATCTACTATTATGTTCCCTATAGACAAGCATTAAAGTTTTTTATTTATTCTTTTGAGTTTCTTTTTGAAATTATACATCAATACACATTTGTACACCCTTTCTTACAAAAAAGTATATATTCCACATACTCTACACATTGCTTTACACTTTCTTTTTGCTTTTCTTTTTTTAAGATTTATTTATTTATTTGAGAGAGAGAATGAGAGGGGGGAGGGTCAGAGGGAGAAGCAGACTCCCTGCCAAGCAGGGAGTCCCGATGCAGGACTCGATCCCGGGACTCCAGGATCATGACCTGAGCTGAAGGCAGTCAATCAACCAACTGAGCCACCCAGGCGCCCTCTTTTTGCTTTTTTCTTAAGAACGTTTCTGGACTATCACTTCCCTTCAACCAATACACACCTTCCTAGTTTCCCTTTACAGCTGCATTGTATTGTGGGAATGTACCAGAGTCATTCCCACATTTTGATGAGCATTGTGGTCTTACATGGAATCCAATTTTTCTTAGTATTTGGGGAGGTATATCTCCAATAAGATTTCTGTGACTAATCTTGTGGAAAAATGGGTAAAATGAATAGACAGTGCACAAAAAAATAACTGTAAATGGCCCTTATCCACATAAAATGGTGTTCCATCTCATAATAATGAGAATTCAATTTAAAATTACACTGAGATACCATTTCTCATCCATTAGATTCACAAAAATTCATAAATCTGAATACATAGCCTGATGGCTAGGCTCTTGGGAATCATTGTTCTTATACATCGCTGGCAGGAATGCAAAATATATATATATATTTTGCACTTAAAATCACTTTAATATTGGAAGTATTAGCCATTTGTCTGATATTGTCCCAAATGATTTTCCCACTTTGTCTTTTTATTTGCTTATGCTGTTTGCCGTGCACAAGTTGGATTTTTTTATTTCATTATAGCAAATTTATCCATCTGTTTCCTTAGTGTTCTAGAATTCTTAATCATATTTAGAAAAATTTTGTCTACTCCCATATTATACATAAACTCACTCATGTTTTCTTATAGTATTTGTGATTCTTTTTCTTCTCTGTGTTAACATTCTAATCCTTTTATAGTTTCTTCTCTAATATGAAGAATGAACATAATTTTATATTTTTCTCTATGGCTATCCAGTGATCCCAACCATACTTCCCAAAATGTTCTTTGTTACCCCCACTGCTTTTAGATGCTGACCTTATCATAAATTCCCACACACACTTAGTTTTTGTTTTGTTGTGTTTTTTTTTCTGGAATTTCAACTTTAATG